ATGCCAGCACCATTTGTTGAAGATGCTTTCTTTCTTTCCATTGTATAATTTGAGCTCCTTTGTCAAAAATCAGGTGTTCGTAAGTGTATGGGTTAATATCAGGGTTTTCGATTCAATTCCATTGGTCTACCTGTTTATTTTTGGGCAAATACCAAGCTGTTTTCAGGACTATAGCTCTATAATAGAGCTTAAAATCAGGGGTGGTGATGCCTCCAGAAGATCCTTTATTGTACAGGGCTGTTTTGGCTATCCTGGGTCTTTTGTGTTTCCATATAATTTGGGTATTGTTTTTTTCAAGGTCTTGTGAAGAATTGTGCTGGGATTTTGATGGGGATTGCATTGAATCTGTAGATTGCTTTTGGCAAGATTGACATTTTTACTGTGTTGATCCTAATTACTCAAGAGCATGGGAGATCTTTTCATTTTCTGGTTTCTTCTTTAATTTCTTTCTTTAAAGACTCAAAGTTCTTATTATATAGGTCTTTCACTTGTTTGGTTAGCATTACCCCAAGATATTTAATGTTGTTTGTGGCTGTTGTAAAAGGTGATCTTTCTCTGATTTCTTTCTCAGCCCATTTATCCTCTGTATACAGGGATACTGATTTTTTAAGTTAATCTTGTATCCTACCACTTTGCTGAAGGTGTTCATCAGCTATAGGAGTTCCCTGGTAGAGTTTTCTGGGTAACTTATGTAAACTGTCATATCATCTGCAAATAGTAACAATATGACTTCTTCCTTTCCCATTTGTATCCCCTTGGTCTTCTTTTGTTTTCTTACTACACTAGCTAGTACTTCAAGTACAATATTGAAAATATTCAAGAGAGTGGACAGCCTTGTCTTGTTCCTGATTTTAGAGGAATTGCATTGAGTTTTTCTCCATTTAGTTTGAATTTGGTTGTTGGTTTGCTGTATTTTGCTTTTATTATGTTCAGGTATTTTTTCTGTTATCTCTGATTTCTCCAAGACCTTTATCATGAAGGGGTGTTGGATTTTGTCATGGGCTTTTCAATGTCTAGTGAGATGATCATGTGGTTTTTCTTTTTCAGATTGTTTATATGGTGAATTACATTGATAGATTTCCATATGTTGAACCATCCCTTCATTCCTGGGCTGAAGCCTACTTGATCATGATGTGTTCTTGTATTCAATTTGCCATTATTTTATTGAGTATTTTTGCATAAATGTTCATGAGGGATATTGGTCTGTAGTTCTCTTAGTTGTGTCTTTGTATGGCTTGGGTACCAAGATAATTGTAGCCTCGTAAAAAGAGTTTCATGATGACCCTTCTGCTTCTATTGTGTGGAACACTTTGAGGAGTATTGGTATTAATTCTTTCTTGAATTTCTGGTAGAATTCTGCACTGAAACCATCTGGCCCTGGGCTTTACCCCCCCCCTCCTTTGATGACTGCTTCTTTTTCATTAGGGGTTAGAGGTTTATTTAAATTGCTTATCTGTTCTTGATTTAATTTTGCTAAGTGATATCTATCCAGAAAATTGCCCATCTTCATTAAATTTTCAAATTTTGTGGAGTACAGGTTTTCAAAGTATGACCTGAATATTCTCTGGATTTCCTCTGAGTCTGTTTTTATGTCATTTCTGATTTTGTTTATTTGCTCTCTCTCTCTCTCTCTCTCTCTCTCTCTCTCTCTCTCTCAATCTCTCTCTGACTGACTGTCTCTCTGCCTTTTGGATAAAGGTTTATCTATCTTGTTGATTTTCATGAAAAACCAACTCTTTTTCCATTGATTATTTGTATTGTTTTCCCAGTTTTTACTTATTGTTTTCAGTCCTAAATTTGATTATTTCTTGGCCTTTACTTCTCCTTGCTTCTTTTTGTTCTAGAACTTTCAGAGGTGCTGTTAATTCTCTAGTGTGACTATTCTCCAGTTTCTTCATGACTTTCCTCTTAGCACTGCTTTAAAATGTCCCATAAGTTTGGGTATGTTGTTTCTTCAATCTCGTTGAATTCTAGAAAGTCTTTAATTTCATTCTTTATTTATTCCTTGACCCAGGCATGGTGCAGTTGCTCATTGTTCAATTTTCATAAGTTTGTAGGGTTTCTCAATTTGTATTGTTGTTGAATTCTAACTTTAAAGTATAGTGGTCTGATAAGATACAGGGGATTATTCCATTTTTTTCTACCCTATTGAGGTTTGCTATATTCCCGAATGCATGGTCGATTTCAGAGAAGGCTCTATGTGGCACTGAGAAGAAGGTATATTCTTTTGTGTCCGGATAGAATATTCCTTAAATATCTGTTTAACCCAATCAGGTTATAACTTCTGTTAGTTCTTTTGTTCCTTTGTTTCTTTGTTAAGTTTCTGTCTGGTGGACCTGTCTAGTGTTGAGAGTTGGATCCCACTGTAAGTGTATGAGTTTTTATGTGTAATTTGAGTTTTAGTAATATTTCTTTTACGAATGTGGGTGCCTTTGTATTTGGGGCATAGATGTTCAGAATTGAGACCTTCATCTTAATGAGTTTCTCCTGTGATGAATAAGAAATGCCCTTCTTCATCTCTTTTGATTGATTTTAGTTCAAAGTCTAATTTGTTAGATATTAGGATTGCTACCCCTGCTTGTTTCTTGGGTCCATTTGAATGGAAAATCTTTCCCCAACCCTTAACTCTGAAGTTAGTGTCTATCTTTGAAGTTGAGGGGTGTTTTGTGTATGCAGCACAAGGAAGGATTCTGTCTTCATATCCATTCTGACAACCTGTATCATTTTGTAGGTGAGTTAAACCATTATTACTGAGGGAAATTAAGGTTCATTGATTATTAATTCTTGTTTGTTTTGGATTTGTTTGTGGTGGTGGTATTGTGTGGATATTCACACCCCCCTTTTTTCTTTTGACTGTTGGTAGGGTGGGATTATCCATTGCCTATATTTTCATGGGTATACTAAATTTCCTTGGGTTGGAGTTTTCTTTACAGAACTTTCTGTAGGGCTGGATTTGTGGATAAGTATTGTTTAAATCTGGTGTGTCCTGGAATATTTTGGTTTGTCCATTTGTAGTGATTTAAAGCTTTGCTAGGTATAGTAGTCTGGGCTGGCATTCATGGTCTCTTAGTGTTGGTGAATATCTATTCAGTACCTTCTGGCCTTCAGAGTTTCCATGGAGAATTCATGTGTAATTCTGATAGGTTTGACTTTAAATGTTACTTGCCTTTTTCCTTTGCTGCTCTTAATATTTTTTTTTATTTTGTATGTTTGTGTTTTGATTATTATGTGGCAAGGTGACATTTTTGTGGTCTACTCTTTTTGGTGTTCTGTAAGTTTATCATGGGAAAGTTTTCTTCTATGATTTTGTTGAATATGTTTTCTGAAACTTTGAGTTGGATTTCATCACCTTCTTCTATACTTATTATTCTTAGGTTTGGCCTTTTCACAGTGTCTCATATTTCCTGGATATTTTGCGTTAGGAATTTGTTGGACTTAAGATTTTCTTTGGTTGACGAAACTATTTCTCCTAGTGTATCTTCAACACCTGAGAGCCTCTCTTCCATCTCTTGTATTCTGTTGGTTATGCTTGCATCTGCAGTTCCTGATCATTTGTCTAGCTTTCCTACTTCCAGTATTCCCTATTCCCTTACACTGTTTTTTTTTGGGGGGGTAGAGGGTGATTGTTTTTGTTTATTTTTGTTTATTTATTTATTTGATTTGTCTCTATTTCAGCTTTCAAGCTTAGCACTGTTTGAATTGTTTCTTGCAATTTTTGGTTTGTCTTTTCCTCCATTTCTTAAATTTTCTCTTCCATTTCTTTAAGGGGTTTTCTCATTACCTCTTTGAGGGTCTCTATCATTGTCATCCTCATAAAGTTGTTTTTAGGGTCATTGTCTTCTGCTTCATCTGTGGTGGGATGATCAGATCTTGCTGGTGTAGGGTCCCTAGACTTTGGTGGTGTCACACTGATCTTTCTGTTGTTGACTGTGTTCTTATACTGTCATATACACAACCCATTTCCCAGTGTGTACCGGTGGGGTCTCTCCCTCTCCTGGTGGGTACAGAGCCAATGTTCTCTTCCAGTGGGTACAAGCAGGTCCAATACTCCAATGGCTCTCCTCTTCCAGAGCGTGGAGTTGGGACTGGGATGCTGGTAGACTCTGATGGCTCATCTGCTGTGACTGGTTACCCTGTGTGCAGTCCCCAGTTCTCAGGAGACTCCAAGCAGGGCCCCCAAAAGGTGGGCCAGAAACAACCCCACACTTACCCCCTCCTGTGATTGGAGATGGGACTAGGATGCATCAGACTCTAGATGGGCTAGTCCACTTGGGCGGGCTCCCCCATGGTGTGCAATCCCCAGTAGGTTTGGAACAGGGCACTAGAAGGCAGGCTCCTCTGGTGGGTGGAGGTGGGACCAGTAAGCCTGCAGACTCTGGATAGGCCATTTCACTGGGATGGGCTCCTCTGTGCATGCACAGTCCCCAGGTCTCAGGAGGCTCTGTGAAGAGCACCCAAAGGCAGTACCCTTGTCTTTCTATATGGCCTTAAGGAAAGTGACTGCAGTCTGCAGCAAAGATAAATTGGAATTTATTGTTTGTGTTTTAGTGGTTAATGAGCACATAAAGACATGTCTACACACTTATGCCATTTCCCTGAAGCCAGGTGATTTAATATTTAGATGTAACAAGTTAGAGATAAGATTTGCAGCTGTCTAGAAATTCATAGCCTAGTATGTAGCAACCACCTCAGCCGCTAGTCTCAAAATTTGTGTGAATCTCACAGCTATTAATACCTGTTTGTAAATCAATTAAAAAAATATATGGACAAGAATCCTAAAGCACCTTTCTCACAGACTAGAGGAGTAGAGGAGAGGTGAGACATACAGTGACTCATGGAAGATCCAGACTACCCCCAAGCTATCTGCTCAGTGCCTGAACTGGGATCCTATTGGCTTCCTCTTCCAGCCTGGGCTTCTATATAGGCATGCATTGCTGACCCTGGGCCCTGAGCACTCTGTCCTGCTCTTTGTTACTTTTGGTCCTAGGAGCCTCACAAGAATGGAAAAGCACTACCTGCTGCTCCTGCTGAGCCTCTCATTGCTGCTAGGTTTCCTGCAAGGTGAGATCCTGGCTAGTGGAAGGGGCAAGTACTGAATGACAGTCATACTGTCAAAGGATCTTAGGCTTTGGGGAGGTGAGGAACATGAGGTAAGACCTGAATGCCTTTAGAATCCACCTCTATACCATCTAACCCCACATCCACACATCCTTTCTTCCCTTTCTTTGTGGGCACTTGTACAATCCTCAGTCACCTCATTCTCATTGTCCTGGCTCTGGTGCTCTCTTTCTGGTCCTTCCATCCCTCTTCTATCATTTTCCTTCACATGTAAACATTCTTGCTTCCTAAACCTTACTGTTCATGGACCTAAATTAGAGTTGGCAATGGGGCAAGGAAGGCCCTTGCCAGAACAAAGAAGATGAGTTTGCCTAGTCATAGGTGGTTGGCTCAGGTACCCAAAACTTCCTCCTCGCAGCCTTGTCCATTTCCAGGATATGACTTGGGGGAACCTTCTGCATCTCCAGCTTCAGCCACCGTTTTTTGCCTATTGACCAGCACCACAGTCTGATGAATGAGACTCTCATACTTTCTTTCTTCTTTTAAGCACTGTCATGCTTCTATTGTGAGCTCTTAAACTCGGAGGGGATTTGTGAGAAAGGAGAAAGCACTTGTGAGACTGATGGTGACCAGCAGTGTTCGATGGTGGAGGTCTCTACAGGTATGTGTGCCTGGGAGGTCTCGGGGTGACAGCTTGCACATGGGGGATGAAACCCTTTTCACTGTGCTGACCATAAAAGCAGTGTGTGTGAGGACCTGCCCCTCTGAAAAGGGAAAAAAGCTCCCCTGCTTCTTGTACTAGTTGCTACTGGTTCAAACAAGCAACTTATTGAGGGAGGGAAATGTTTTGTGAGGAGTCTCTGGGTGGTCCTTAGGGACATTCTGGGTGAGCATACCCAGGAATGGGAATGTTTGGACTCTAAAAATCCACTTAGTTCTTTAGGGAATGTAGGGCCTGCCTTTGGCCAAATTAGTGCTTGACGGGTGTTGGCCAAGAGAATTCCACATGGTCACTTCAGTGACTGATGGAACTTCCAGCTGGGAGCCTGATTCTCTCCATTATTGAGTAGCTGATTCTTTCCACAAATGCATATGATTTACCTTTTGCCTTTTTTCTCATCCAGGTCCCAGGATCCAGTATATGATACAGGAATGTTCTAACCTGTGCTTCAATCGAACCTTTACAGAAAAATACATCACTGTGAAATACACATGCTGCAACAACACATCTTTCTGTAACCAGCCTTAGAGGCCTGGTCCCCGAGTCCTCAGCTCTTCCCTGTGCCCCTGAAACCTGGCAATGCTGGGCCATCCATTCCCAGGACTGCCCGGATCTGACTCGTGTCTGCTGAGTGTCAGGTGCTCCAGCAGTTCCTTTGAGGCCAGAGTTGCTCTCTGCTCCCCAACACTTTGGGGCTCCACTTCTCTCAGATTTGGTTTCCCTCCCTTCTCTTCCTCCTTTCTTTCAGCACTGCACACTCTCTCCACAGTAACATTTTATCAACAAGTGTGTCCTCACTGATATAAACTGCAGTGAGACACTTACTCTGTCCCAGTGACTATGACACAGCTGACACTCTTGAGGAAGCTTCTGTTTAGTGATGCTTTTGCTGCCAGGCTGGTAATCCCACTGTACACTGCAGAAATACAGCTTGTTTCCATGTTCAGATGTGTGTTTCAGAGCTTTCATAATCATGAATATATTATGATATGTATTTGTATGTGAGCATGAATACTTATGTGTTTATAAATATAAAAAATTACAACCTTTCGTTTGCAGTGCTGGTCATTGAATCATGGTCCAGGAGCATGCAGCAAGCATTGTACTACTGAAACAAATCTGGAGCCCTGTACCCTGCTTTCCATTATACATCTTAGACATCTTTCCTAATCTATATACATACACCATACTCTACTGGAAGTTTTGTCATGCACTATATGCCCTATAAAGTTTATTGCACTGGTCTATAAGGTGGTTTATAATATTTTCAATAAAACAGGTTTACTTTTGCTCGTGGATTGTGTGTGTGTTTGTTGATATACATGTTATGGTGTGTGTGTGTGTGTGTGTGTGTGTGTGAGAGAGAGAGAGAGAGAGAGAGAGAGAGAGAGAGAGACTCTATAAAGAAGCAATGCTCTCCTTCCATCATGTTTTTTCTCAGTATCACGCTCAGTGCTCAGCCTTGGTGGCCAAGGCTCTCACGTGCTGAGTTGTAAAGTTAAATAATTAGGGAATTGGAGAGAGTTTTCAGTGGGTGAGGTTGCTTACTGCCAAACCTGATGACCTAAGTTCAATCCCCAGGACAGGCATAATAGGAGAAAAAAAGACTTCTGTAAGATTTCTCTGACCTTCAAATGCAAGCTATTGTAGTGTGTGTCACACACACACACACACACACACACACACTCTCTCTCTCTCTCTCTCTAAATAAATAAATAAATAAATAAATATAACAAAAATACAATTCCACCTTCTGAATTTTATAAAATACACCTTCTCCCAAATACCACAAGTAAGATTCATAGTACTTGCAACAGCACCAGAAGTTTGTAGTTAGGTTGCTTTCATAGAATCACGCCCACATGGTCATTCTCGACCCCTTACTAATACTACCTCTCCTGGTTTATTACACTGTTAAATTCTTAGGATACCTTCCAGGAAGGATCATCAAAATCTGTCAAGTCATTTGGAGTAGGCTAAGGGAGTATCCCTCCACGGGGAATGTGTTCCCAAAGTTCTTTTGTGCATCAGGGATACATCCTGGCTCCACTGTCAGAGGTCTTTTATACTGCACAGGCCTTCTGAGACAGACCCACATTCAGGGGGTCTAAGTCGGTCCAATGCTGGTTTCTCTGCTGTCAGCCTGGGGGTCCATGAACTCCCCCTTGTTCAGGTCAGCTGTCTCTGTGGGTTTCTGTAACCTGGTCTTGACCCCATTTTCTTATCACTCCTCCCTCTCTGCAACTGGATTCCAGGAGTTCCAGTGTTTAGCTGTGGGTGTCTGCTTCTACTTCCATCAGCTACTAGATGAGGGCTCTGTGATGGCATATAAGTTAGTTATCAATCTCATTATCAAGGAAAGGCATTTAAGGTAGCCTTTCAACTATTGCTCAGATTGTTAGTTGGGGTCATCCTGTGGAGTGGGGGTGAGGGAGAATGGGATGGGATGGGCCGGGGAGCATAGGAGGGAGGGAGAAGGAACTGGGAATAATATGTAAAATAAGAAAAAATTAAATATACATATATATATATATATATATCTTAGAATAGCTGCCACCCTATCTTTATTTCCCTATATCTCATTCAGCTGTATTATTTCTCTAGCTAAGTCTTCAAGTACTATATTGAATATGTATGCAAAATGTGAACACCATTGTCTTGCCCCTTATTTTAGTGGAATTACTTTGAGTTTAGGTTGATGTTGAGTATAGGTTAGCTGTAAATAACCTTTATTATGTTCAGGAATGGAATGTCCCTAGCTTCTCCAGGACTTTTATCTTGAAGGAGTGTTGGATTCATGTCAAAAGCAGCTTTTTTTTTGCATCTAATGAAATGATTGCATGTTTTTTGTCTTTTTGTCTTTCCTTCCATTTTTATAGTAGATCACATTTATCATCTTATTTATGTTGGACCATCCTTCCATCTCTGGGATGAAGTCCTATTGATTATGGTGGATGATCCCTTTGATATATTCTATTAATTACTTTTGCATCTGCTTTTGCAAGTATTTTATTCAGAATTTTTTCATCTATGTTCATAAAGGAAATTTGTAATTCTCTTTCTATGTTGGGTTTCCAGACCAGAATAGCTAGTCCTAGACAGAGAGTGCCTCCAGGTCTTGGGTGGCTAACACAAAGGGATAGAAGGATGGAGAAAGTCTGGGTCTGCACAGAGAATTTGCAGAGACCCCAGGAAATGGAGGCAAAGAGGAAGGCCAGATCCCTACATATGGTCTGCTACAGGGCTGGGCATGAGACTCCTAAAGACTCCTAAATGAGATTTCCATATCAACTCCCACAAGGATCAGAGAACAATGTAGAAGAGCAGACAGAATGAGTGTCAGAGCTAAAGGATGGGTAGAGGTGCTATGAAGTGTTATCTTATGCACAGGCCATGGCTATGGCACTTATGAACTCACTGTAGCTATGGTTACCTATATGGGAAAGAAAACTTGCTGGGGAATCACAGGAAATTTGGAGGTAGATAGGATCAAAACACATTGTTTACATGAATAAAGCTAAAAAATAAATGAAAAATATTAAAAATAAAATTCTTTGTCCCCTTGTGGATCATTTGGCATTTTTTTCCCTATAGAATAATACAGACACATTCAGTGCCTTATTTTGCATTACTTGTAAATATTTTATGATTCTAATAGGTTTTCATAATCATGTCAATTACTCATATCTGTTTTCTATTATTAGCCATCCCAGGGCTCATAGAATATACATATTTAATTTAGCAGTGTTTGCAATAAAAGACTATTGTAATGCTTTAATAACATATGAAGTAAGGATTTAAAAAACAGAAATTATCTTCTAAAGCAATTCAAAATAAGGGAAATAGTGTCTTCTGCATTTGTCTTCATTCTGTTGTCTCTTAGTTTTTATATGTATTTGTATGTCCAGGTTTTTAATTGTTGCCATGGCTCTTCTTCATTCAGAACTTCCTTAACATTTGTTCTTGTGCTCCATTGATCACAAATTATTGATTATCTTAGCTTCTCTTTGCTTAGCAATGTTGTACATTTAGCTTAACAAATATATTTTCTCAGTATATAATTCTGGATTCTAGTGGTGTGTGTGTGTGTGTGTGTGTGTGTGTGTGTGTGTGTGTGTGTGTGTGTGTGCATTTATTGTATTTTTTCCTGTCTCTATAATAATGTAGTTTATGATGAATGTTCTGGTTAGTTCCAGTTTTTGTTTATCAATAATAAAATGTCATGTTTTCTTCATCCTTGGTTATTTTTCAGAAGTTTGAAGGTCTTATTGTAAGTTTTAGTGTTTATTCTATTTTGGAGTCTTTCGGATTTGCTGAATCCACTTTTATTATTTTGGAAACAATAATGACTATTATTTTTAAATATACATTCTGATCATTTTTTTGCTATACAGAGAACTAACCATATATGTTAAAATGTTTGGTATTCTTAACTGTAAGATTCGTGTACTGATTCCTTTCATTTGAACTGTTTTCCCCTATGCATGTCTGTAACTATTTGGTTAGTTATTGAGGCAATGTTCATGGCCTCCCACTTGCTATGTAGTCAAAGATGACATTAAACTTTGAATTTTCTAGTCTCCAACTCTCTGTTGTGATTAAAAAGTATATGCTAATACATCAAGTTTTATGTTGTGCTTGTCATTAAACTCAGGGCTTTGGATATGCTAGATAAGCACTCTATGAACTATACTCATAACCCCATGTTCATGTATATTTATGTTAAATTCACTTTCCAGTAGAGAATAAATAATTCCATCATTTGCTAAAAGTCTGATAGCATTGAGACAATGTTTCTTTCATATAGAAACATTTTCAAATAATATTGTTGATGTATCAGCACACGAGACTTCACCTTGAAATGTGTATTACCTCAAGTAGGGCCTCATGTCTCTCTTGGGTAATATTTGGGAACATCACAAAGAAGATTGCTAACTTTTGTTCATGGTAAAGATTTTTCGATCTCTTTCATCTCCCCAGTCTAGTGCTTGCCACATAGGCTGGTACCTTTTCTCAGTATAGCATACCCATCTTGCTTCTCTCTGCATCTGCTCAATACACCTCTGAGTCTACCCTTCTTTCAATAATTCTCTGTTTGGTTTTGCCCCTAACCTTATCATGTCCAGGTATTGGCCAGACATCTTCTTTCAATCACAATGACATATATTTACACAATATAAAATAATATTTCACATTTCCCCCTTTTTGTCTAATTAAAAAGAAGGTTTTAATTTTAACGTGGTAAAATTATATACAACAAAACTGTTATTAAGTAAGAATTACAGTTACAATATGCAGTCCATTTGTATTTGGCAAAATTAGAGAACATATTCTATATTTGTCTTAATTAGTCAAGTTTCATGTGTAACTTACCTTTTATCATAACTAAGGAAAACTTTAAATCTAATTATTCCATCTTCAACTCCATCAAAGAGCCCAAAAAAGTCAAATGTTACCTAACAACAGGGACATATGACTGCCTGGACAGTCACCCTAGATTCTTCTGTAATGTTGGGGCATCCAGCTTTGGACTAC